AATAATTTGAGTATTAGAATACGTCATATATTAATCTGTTCTATATTCTTGCAAAATAAAAAAATTGCCAACCCCCAAAGTCAACACGAAGTTTATGAAATGTGTTGTATATATTTTGTCTTCGATACGTTGCAGATATGGGTGTCGGACAATACCTTGGAGCAAATGCCAGTGAGTTGATAAATTATCAATATTTTAATGCATATTACAAAATTACTTTACGATTTTGTTTAGACTTCATAAGTCATAGACATACCACTTTTCAAATTACTAAAAATATGTACGTCGTATTTGAATTTTGTAATGTAAAAAATGAAATCAGTAATATGTAAATTGAAGAAGAAAGCAGGTATTTCTGATACATGTTATAATTTAGATGTGGTGTCCACCCACACCGCCCCAGCAAGATACCGACGTTTATGTAGACCATAATATGTCCTTCCTGTACGAATCGACCGTGATGTCTGAATCGCAGCTCCCTCCTGTATATGTGAAGAAAGAAGCAAAACGTTCCCGACATGATGCGGCTCTCATTGAAGCTCGACGTGCCTTGAAAATCCAGCGCAAAGACGAAGCTGTTTATGCCCCCAGATCATTATTTGAGCGTCCATCTCCTGCACTGGTTAAAATGCGGCGGGATCTCAAACTCCAGAAATACAGAGGTATCGTAAGACCCCTAGTACCTGTGCCTGGAATAAAGATGGGCGTAAGTTTGAAACCCACATCGGAACCGCTATGTCTTCATAACTGGACCGTGCACGAAGATATGGCGTTACTAAAAGCCGTTCAGTCCTACCAGGGACTGCCACTAAATTTGCTGATTATTTCACCGGGACACACGCCCAATTGGGACTTCGTCGCTGATTACGTCAACAGTGCTTCGATAACATATCGATCTCCAAAACATTGTAGACACAGGTATGAAATATGTATCAATATAATTATTATGAATGTTTTTATTGATAATTAAAACAACGTGTGTCCTTGTCAGATACGAGACCGTTATAGTTCCTCGTGAAGAAGGCAAGCAAGTATTCGATAACGCTGCACGTAAGAAAAAGAACAAAACAGGACTTCACAAATTTCCGACTCAGAAAACAAGCAGACCCATGAGGACGGCTCAACTTTATGCTCAAGATAATAATACGACATTCTCGCAAACAATGGTGCAGAGATTCGACGCTCTCAAGGGAATTACTAATAAACGAGCTCCCGCGTCTAAAATCGTTATTAATAATCCGCTACTAAAGAACCCTAAGCACACAGCGGTATTAAACGAATGCGGTATCGATCTGGATCACCCCGTGTTACCTGTGGAGGTAGCAGCTAGAAGAGCTGAAAGAATTGCAAGAGAAAAAAAGAATATGACTCCAGAGCAACTAGCTGTGGCTCAAAGGTGTAAACTAAACATTTTTAAACCTATACATTAATTGATGCTAAAAAAATCCAAAATTGGCAGGTTACAATTAATGAAGTCTGGGCAAATTTCTGCAAGTCAATTGGCTCAAGCAACAGCCCAAGCCCCAGGTCAAGGCTCGTCTTCACCTTCAGTAACAACATCAATTGTTGTTCCTCAAACTCAACCTATTCTCCAAACGTCCACAGTGACGACGGTCACGACAACTATCGTATCTACACCCAGTACTCCTCCAGGTTAAACATTAACTTCTTTAAGACTAATATTTTGTTGTGACAATGGAAATGTTTTTTATTTTTTTGTAGGTGTCCATCGAACGCAGAGGATTGTTGCATCACCTATTCAAAACCCAACAGTGGTGTCGGTTTCAGGACTAAGTCCTGCTCAAATCCAACCTACAACACAACGTCTTATTGTATCAGGAACTCCAGGGCAAACGAAAGCAGTCGTCGGAACTACGACTGGGAAAACAATAAGCCCAGCACAGCTACAAATGATCAGACAGGCCACAATCAAACAGCAGCAGCTGAGATTACAAGCCACTGGTGGAAATGTTGGTGGAACTACTCCAGGTGGTGCCAAGACATCGACGGTGGTCACCATCGCTGGACAGGCGGTGCAATTCACCCAGACACAACCTCGAACTCAAGTAAGGATGTAATTATGTTGTATTTTATGGAAATTTTAATTTACTGTATTTTAATTTTCAGTTTGTAAAACAAGGTGCTGTAACAGTGGCTGGTAAACAGGGCGTCGCTCGCACTATGACAGAATCGGAAATGGCTGCCCATCTTCTTAAAAGACAACATCAGCTACAACAAAAAGTGTTGGCTTCTGGAACGGTGGCCTCCGTTTCTCAGACCAACACCACAATACAAAGTTTGTCCCCTCAGGTATTTGCTCAGGCCATTCAACAAGCCGGAACATCTGGAACCCAGGTGGCCACCCTAGTCAAAACTGTGTCCACTTCTGGGGGTGGAGGTAAATCATATTACAAAAGGTTATTTCGAGTTTTATTGCTTTTTTTTTTTTGTAGGCACTCAGACCTTAACAATTCCTGTTTCGACAGTTACTATAGCCGGAGCTCCTGTAAAGGCTGCTACAGGAGTGACACCAGGCAGTGTCAAGGCATCGACTCCTCAGCAACAACTTCGTCACATGCAAATTCAACAACAATTATTAGCCCAAAAGAAATTGGTGAATCAGAAGATTGCTGGCATTGCCCAAGTAACAGGCAAAGGAGGCGTCGCAACGCAGTTGATTGTGGGGTCGAAGCCTTTGCCGACTTCCATGACCCTTCAACAATTCCAACAAGTAGTCAGATCACCTCTCACTGTGCCCCAAGGACCTGTTGTATTGGCTAAAGGTTCTCCAAGGGTAATTCCTGTTAATACAGGACAAGGAACGAAGCAAGCCATTCAGGTAAAGAAAATTTTCGTGTTGACTCGGAGGTTTTGTTTTTTACTACTGTGCAGAATTAATGATTCATTTCCATATTTCTTTTAGGTTGTTGCCGCATCTTCTCAGGGTCTAACGACGTCCATCCGTCCTCAAACGACTTCAACACTGGCGGGTGCCCTGACAGGTATTAAAGTACAAGGTGGTGCTAGCACTCAAGCACAACAGGCATTCCTATCCCAAGTATCAGCTGCTTTACAAAGTCAGGCAGTTGGAGTGCGTCAGAGCAGCCCTCTTCGTATTCAAACTTCTACCGGTGCTCCTTTGGTCGCCGTGACCGTCCAGTCAGCTGCTAGTTTACAACAGCAGCAACAAGCTGCCGGGACTGGAGTCTCCGCAACAGGGATGCAGCAACAGCAACAAAGTAGTGGTACTTCAGCATCATCCGAACGGGGCGGAGAACAAGTAAGTAGTAGATACATGAAGAAATAAGGGAGATATGTAATTTAGTTAATTAGTTTTTTCGGTGTTTTTCTCGAAATTCACCTTTTTTATTGTTTGAAATTTAAATATGTTATAAATATATAAAAAAATGCGTGCGTGTTTCAAAGTATTACACTATATTATAAATTTTTAAGTTTTAGTTGAGACGACGATTTTCTAGATTAACAATTTGAAAGTAGCCATTATTATTTCATTTTATTTATAAATTTCTTCACCTAAATACTAATAGTGGTATATAATTTTAATCATAGACGTAGCATTCCATGCTAGTTTTATTTTATAATTTAATTTTTATGTAGTGATTGCTATTTTCAAGTTGTGGATCATTATGAACGGATTTAAATGCAAAGACGATGAACATATCATTTGTGAATTTTTATTTTAGTTATTGTAAGTACATGATGAAACGGTTAAGACGTTGTTTTAGTCCTGTGATAATAAGTAAACTCTAAAGGAGCCTTTATAAATGTTATGTCAATAGTTTGTATGTTAATGACACCTACACTTGAGTCGTCCATAACATTTAAATAATTATATTTAAGCAAATAGTAGCAAGTAGTTTTCCTTGCATGAACCTATTTGCATCTGTATACTATTGTTCAATGTTCAAAAAAGATAGCATGCTGAAACTTTTTTCATAATTAAAATGAAAAATCATTAAAAATTATCTTAACTTCCAGGCTTGAGGCGAAGAGGACTGCACTAACTTGTAATATAGCTATGTATATAAAATCAATAAATAAGATAGGTCTTTTAATAAGCGTTTCGCTGTCGTCCTTGCCTATCTGTAAATTTTAATTCTGTGTGGTAAAACATTATAAAGACATGAAACATCATGTCGTACAGCTATAAATTTTTTATGTGGTTCACAATTTGACTTTCAATAAAAAAGTAACAGCTACCTGATGTGTGGATCTTTTTGTATTACACATTATTACCAGTGTTTATAAATGTGTTGATAATATGATGAATAACAATTAGTGTATATTTGAATTTTCTAAAATAATCATGTAGTTTTACAACTACTGCACCAAAGATGGGTTAAATTATACTTTAAACACCACAAAACATGATTCAAACATGGAACCTGCACAATGTGCACTGAAAATTCAGTTTCACATTTTTCTTTTTTGTAACCTGGTTAAAAGTTTTATTCATGCACACTTACATTTGACCACACTGAACAATTGTAACAGGTATCTTAGGTTTATTATTAGGCCCTGTTGGAACATTTTCTATTTTTCGCATGACAAGTAAACCATCCAAAACCTTTCCAAATACAACATGTTTGCCATCCAAAAAATTACATTTTGCGCAAGTTATAAAAAACTGACACCCGTTCGTGTCTTTTCCACTGTTTGCCATTGAAAGAAGTCCTGGGCAATCATGCTTCAAAAGAAAGTTTTCATCTGCGAAGGTTCCTCCTCCGTAAATACTTGTTACTCCTGTACCATCACCCTAAATATATGAAAAAGGCCATACAGTAATATATAAGGTAATAGTAAATACATACATTCACAAAATCACCACCTTGTATCATAAAATCCTTAATAACTCTATGAAAACTTGCACCCTTATAACCTAACGGCACGCCATCCTTCTTGAATTCACCACAGCAAAACTGACGAAAATTTTCACTGGTTTTGGGTACAACATCAGCAAATAATTCAAAAACCATCCTTCCAATCTCCTTAAGTTAGAAAATACTAAATGATGTAATATAAAAAATGTAGGTACAGATACTACTCACAATTGAACCGACAGATATATCGAAAAACACTACTGGATTAGTTGGATGTCGCAATTGTGACTGAACCTGACTCCAACTCGGCATACTTATTTCCACAACTATCTTACAAAATTACCGTACTTAAAAATGTAAACTAAACTCTTAGGTTAGAATTACTCGATGAAATGCTAATGATAATAAAAATACGTTAATGACGTTTCACAATTAGCTGACCATAGATAAATACCAATTGGAGTTGACACAATTAGAAATAAAAGTTATAACCACCTATTCAGGTTTTTATTACTATTATGTAGTAGGTACAAGTAATATACCCTATTCCGTAATATCATTAGGGTGTTTTTTAGGGGTGGATCAGTTTTTATTAATTCATGAATTAAACAGAGTAAGTATAATTGAACCCACCTTTAAAATCTATTATCTATGTATTATAGGTATCGAAAAAATTGTCATCTATGGATCTTCCGATTCGTCTACTTTTGTGGTCTTGTNATTTTTATTTTAATAAAATATTGAATATTATAACAGGTAAACTGCAAACCTTGGACGTACTCTTGCGTCGTCTTAAATGGGAAGGGCATCGCGTTCTGATATTCACACAAATGACGAAAATGTTGGATGTGCTAGAGGCATTCCTCAACTTCCACGGTCACATTTATTTAAGACTGGACGGTTCAACGAAAATTGATCAACGACAAGTGTTAATGGAAAGGTTCAATGGAGACCCTAGAATATTTGCGTTCATTCTGTCTACTCGTTCTGGTGGAATTGGAGTCAATTTAACTGGAGCTGACACTGTTATTTTCTACGATTCAGATTGGAACCCGACCATGGACGCACAGGCTCAAGATCGATGTCATCGTATCGGCCAAACTAGAGATGTACACATTTATCGTTTAGTTAGCGAACGTACGATCGAGGAAAACATATTAAAAAAGGCGAACCAGAAAAGACTTCTTGGCGACTTGGCAATCGAAGGGGGCAATTTTACAACAGCATATTTCAAAAGCGTACGTTGAATTAAAAAAAAACTTCAAAACCAATATTTTTTGTCTTATTTTTTTTTTTTTTTTTGTTTCAGTCTACTATTCAAGATCTATTTAATATCGACGCGAAAGAAGAAAGTGCGGTAAATCGTATGTCAGAGGTTATCGAGTGTACGAAAGAACGAGAGCGAGAGCGTTCAAACACCTCAGAGGAAAGTTCGTTGTTACCGGAAGATAAAAATGCGGTCGGGGCTTTGGAAAGTGCTCTAGCCGCTTGCGAAGACGATCAAGACGTTGCTGCTGCCAGAACTGCCAAAGCGGAAGCTGTTGCCGATTTAGCTGAATTTGACGAAAATATCCCACTAGACGACCCAGATAGCCGAGAAAAAGAACCGGAAATGTCCAAAGCTGAAATTGAAGTGGAGAATTTAATTAAACAGGTACATATTGTGATAAAAAAATTATTTATTTTTACTATTTATATTTGTTTCAGTTAACACCAATCGAAAAATACGCGATGAGATTCATTGAAGAAACGGAAGCAGCATGGTCAGCGGAGAAACTAGCTGCAGCTGAGAGGATGATAGACGAACAAAAACGAGAATGGGAGGAGAATCGTCTAGCTGCTCTAAAGGAAGAAGAGGAACGCCGAGCTCGGGAACTGGAAGAGGAGAGCGAGTTACTTACATACTCGCGCGAGGATGCTACGAACCAGGTCAGCATGAAAACGACGTCGTCGTCGAAAAAAGCGTCTGTGGCGACTGCACCGCTCAAACGGGGATCGGTGTTGTCGCAAAGCGCCCCCAGACCGTCTCCGCGTCATTTTAGGTCTTCTAACAACAATAACCATAACGCGAACAAACATCGCCACTCGTCACCTCCACCCCCCGAAATAAATTCGGACTCGGACTTTGAAGAACCGAAAGTAAGACTTACGAAACGCCGCGGTAGACGAAAAACTACGGTAACGGAAGCTCATGCGCTACTAAACGTCGAAAGTGAATCGGAAATGTCTGATCCGGAAACTTTTGGAACAACGAATCACGTAGATCATAATTCTCCTAGAACGCGATCGCGAGGAACTGTTGCCATTAACCTTTGGACGCTGGACGTCAGTCCTATTCTTCCAGGAGTGAAACCAGTTAAGAATTCCCCTAGCACTACTCCCGTGAATAAATCTAAAGGAAATGCAGGTAACAAATTGAAGGATTGCAACGACGAAAACAATAGTGGAAGCCAAAGAGCGAGAAGTGTCCCGAATGATCACAAGTCAAACGAAACCCTGAAGGAAAGAAGTAGAAGTGAAGATAATGGAAAGAATAACGTACACGAATTGCGAGTAAAGAAATTTGGTCCAAAACCAGGAGTTGGGAGAAAGAAAAAGTTCCCGATATCTTTGCAAAGCACCATAAATAAAAATGTTCCCATTAGAAGATTAGGAAGGCCGCCTAAACGTAGAAAATATAATAAGAATTTAAATAAAAGTGAAGCTAGTAAAGAAGAAACGATTGATTACGATGATAACACTGAGATTGAAAAAACAGAAAATATAAAACGAATTGACAAAACACATAAAGAATGTCCTGAACGAGACAACGAAGACGCAGAACTTGATTACGTTGACATTATGGAAATGACAGACAAAGAAAACTCTTTAGACAAAATAGAAATAGAAGACACATTTGAAGAAAATAAACTCCAGGAACACTTAAAGGAAGACAAAATAGATCATTTTCCAAATGTTGGCAAGGACGAGACTGATAAAGTACAAAAACAAGAAAATCTTACTGATTCTGACCAGCACGAAGAAGGTATAAATTATCAATCAAACAGTGAAAAAGAGGATATTGAAACTGTTAACGAAAAAGAAAACAACTCAGTGAACGAAATTAATCCAATGATGTCGACTAACGAAAACATATTAAGGAGCACTAAAATCTGTAAAGTTGTCATAACAGACATCCGGTACAACAAGACTTTGGCTGGAAACTATTTTGATGCGTTTGAAAACAAAGAAACATCAAATAACAGTGAGAGCTCGGATAATCAAAGTGCTAGTGCCCAGGCGAACGAAAAAGAAGGTGAATTGCATAAAAATGGCAATGCGGACCACAAAGAAAAGCATTCGGATGTAGAGATGAAACATTCGGATATCAATGAGAAGCATTCGGATAAATCTGAAAAATGTTCGGTAAATTCGGAAGAAATTAAACTTTTGAATGACATTCCAATAAACGAAGAACCTTCAGAGAATTTAGACTGTGATAGTAACGTTGAGACGGTAACTAATGAACAAAAAATGGAACTAAAGTTTTCTGGTATGTTTCGAGATTCACGATGTCGATTAACGGATATAAAACGATCTCCTTCCAGGATAAACAGGGAGGTCAGAAATAATAAGTACAAGTCCTCTCACAGCGGAAGTACTTTGGATGGTTGGCTTATCAAAAAATCAGCTGACATATTAGCGGATAAAAACGACATCACAGAAGAAAATGAAGAACATTCAAGTCCGTCCATTGAAGAAACGTTGCTATCGGGGACCAATAACTTTCATGCGCAATTGGAAACCGCAAAAGGAACGATAGAAACGAATAATGATGAACAAGAGAAAAGTGCAAACGAAAGTTGTGATGAAAATTTGTCGTCGGACGCTATCGCAGTTAAAGCGAAAATAACAGAAGTGTCGGTATCAGAAGATGGTATAAATGATTCCGATGTTTTGTCGAATGACGTCAGCGTCGGGGGTGGCATTAAACGGACTAGAAATTCTAGCAGTAGTGGCGATGCGCCTGTAGAAGACGACAATATCAAAAGTAAAAAATTGGTCAAAACGAATTGACAGAAAGAATGCGTGCTGCGTAGGACCCAGTCGGTGTAAATTTTTATTAGGAATTAAATTTAATAAAAAATGTGATCTTTGGACGGTTTGGATGTAAAAGTGATGCAACCGCCGATTTATGTAAATAGGTGTAGAGTTTTTTCTACAAACATATTTTTATTGGTAAATTATTTCTTCGTTTTGAATAAGAAAAAAACGGCCCCCCCTATACAATGCATATATGTATCAAAAGAAATTCGTGCGCAAAAACTAACGGATAACAAAACGGTATACTACTTTTTATCACTACTAAAATAATATTACCACTGTCCTTAAGGAGTTTGCGATTTATTTTTACGCTAAGACTATGTGTTGAAACGTCGACCATTCCGGTGGCTCTTTACACCTCGTTTTTGTGTTTATTTTGTACCTTCTTTTAGCAGCTGACAAATTAATCAACGTAAATATTAAGAAATACATAAATTCTAACAAAAACAATTTGTTACGACCAAATTAGATAACAGATATAATAATATAAAACGATTCGGTAGCATTTCCGGTAATATAATTAGCCTTATATTAAGATTTGTGCAATATAAAATCCCGTTTATTTCTAGTCCAAGCACAACCGTTTCAATTTTTGTATCCCGTATATTTAATTAATTGTGTACGGCTTTAAAATTGAAAAACAAAATTCTTGCAAATTTCTTTGGGCCATTTCAAATTGAGAACTATGGTGACAGTGCTTTGTCTACAGTTTTCGTGCACACAGTAATAATTACCAAGTCTATTTTTGTACTTTTGTGTGACAACGTGTAATTATGTTAAATGTACGTACATATGTATACCTTTACACACCACATATGTAATAATTAATATCCATCTCTGAAAGAGTCTTTTTCCTCGAGACGGCTGGGCACACGAAAAAATAAAATCGATTTTTCTCAAGAATAAGCAAAAAGACGCTATTGATAACAAAAGTGCTAATGATGATGATGTGTATATATAATGTATATGGTAGGCGAATAAAGGAATTCTCTTGCGATGTGTTTTTTGTGTTTTTTGCGTTGGTAACGCGTTAGCACAGGGTGGGCGTAGGTTTTGGTGCCATCTGGCTCGGGGTTGCGGCGGGCACCAAAACACTGCCCCGCTCAACACGAGCAAGAGGGTTCCTTTAAGACCTACCTCACCCTTAACACTTAAAACACTTGGCCTTTAACCCTTATCCTTTACACTACAAACAAATATTAACATTGCAGAATAAAGAACAGCGTTTTTATTAGGTTTTAATAATTTGAGTATTAGAATACGTCATATATTAATCTGTTCTATATTCTTGCAAAATAAAAAAATTGCCAACCCCCAAAGTCAACACGAAGTTTATGAAATGTGTTGTATATATTTTGTCTTCGATACGTTGCAGATATGGGTGTCGGACAATACCTTGGAGCAAATGCCAGTGAGTTGATAAATTATCAATATTTTAATGCATATTACAAAATTACTTTACGATTTTGTTTAGACTTCATAAGTCATAGACATACCACTTTTCAAATTACTAAAAATATGTACGTCGTATTTGAATTTTGTAATGTAAAAAATGAAATCAGTAATATGTAAATTGAAGAAGAAAGCAGGTATTTCTGATACATGTTATAATTTAGATGTGGTGTCCACCCACACCGCCCCAGCAAGATACCGACGTTTATGTAGACCATAATATGTCCTTCCTGTACGAATCGACCGTGATGTCTGAATCGCAGCTCCCTCCTGTATATGTGAAGAAAGAAGCAAAACGTTCCCGACATGATGCGGCTCTCATTGAAGCTCGACGTGCCTTGAAAATCCAGCGCAAAGACGAAGCTGTTTATGCCCCCAGATCATTATTTGAGCGTCCATCTCCTGCACTGGTTAAAATGCGGCGGGATCTCAAACTCCAGAAATACAGAGGTATCGTAAGACCCCTAGTACCTGTGCCTGGAATAAAGATGGGCGTAAGTTTGAAACCCACATCGGAACCGCTATGTCTTCATAACTGGACCGTGCACGAAGATATGGCGTTACTAAAAGCCGTTCAGTCCTACCAGGGACTGCCACTAAATTTGCTGATTATTTCACCGGGACACACGCCCAATTGGGACTTCGTCGCTGATTACGTCAACAGTGCTTCGATAACATATCGATCTCCAAAACATTGTAGACACAGGTATGAAATATGTATCAATATAATTATTATGAATGTTTTTATTGATAATTAAAACAACGTGTGTCCTTGTCAGATACGAGACCGTTATAGTTCCTCGTGAAGAAGGCAAGCAAGTATTCGATAACGCTGCACGTAAGAAAAAGAACAAAACAGGACTTCACAAATTTCCGACTCAGAAAACAAGCAGACCCATGAGGACGGCTCAACTTTATGCTCAAGATAATAATACGACATTCTCGCAAACAATGGTGCAGAGATTCGACGCTCTCAAGGGAATTACTAATAAACGAGCTCCCGCGTCTAAAATCGTTATTAATAATCCGCTACTAAAGAACCCTAAGCACACAGCGGTATTAAACGAATGCGGTATCGATCTGGATCACCCCGTGTTACCTGTGGAGGTAGCAGCTAGAAGAGCTGAAAGAATTGCAAGAGAAAAAAAGAATATGACTCCAGAGCAACTAGCTGTGGCTCAAAGGTGTAAACTAAACATTTTTAAACCTATACATTAATTGATGCTAAAAAAATCCAAAATTGGCAGGTTACAATTAATGAAGTCTGGGCAAATTTCTGCAAGTCAATTGGCTCAAGCAACAGCCCAAGCCCCAGGTCAAGGCTCGTCTTCACCTTCAGTAACAACATCAATTGTTGTTCCTCAAACTCAACCTATTCTCCAAACGTCCACAGTGACGACGGTCACGACAACTATCGTATCTACACCCAGTACTCCTCCAGGTTAAACATTAACTTCTTTAAGACTAATATTTTGTTGTGACAATGGAAATGTTTTTTATTTTTTTGTAGGTGTCCATCGAACGCAGAGGATTGTTGCATCACCTATTCAAAACCCAACAGTGGTGTCGGTTTCAGGACTAAGTCCTGCTCAAATCCAAGCTACAACACAACGTCTTATTGTATCAGGAACTCCAGGGCAAACGAAAGCAGTCGTCGGAACTACGACTGGGAAAACAATAAGCCCAGCACAGCTACAAATGATCAGACAGGCCACAATCAAACAGCAGCAGCTGAGATTACAAGCCACTGGTGGAAATGTTGGTGGAACTACTCCAGGTGGTGCCAAGACATCGACGGTGGTCACCATCGCTGGACAGGCGGTGCAATTCACCCAGACACAACCTCGAACTCAAGTAAGGATGTAATTATGTTGTATTTTATGGAAATTTTAATTTACTGTATTTTAATTTTCAGTTTGTAAAACAAGGTGCTGTAACAGTGGCTGGTAAACAGGGCGTCGCTCGCACTATGACAGAATCGGAAATGGCTGCCCATCTTCTTAAAAGACAACATCAGCTACAACAAAAAGTGTTGGCTTCTGGAACGGTGGCCTCCGTTTCTCAGACCAACACCACAATACAAAGTTTGTCCCCTCAGGTATTTGCTCAGGCCATTCAACAAGCCGGAACATCTGGAACCCAGGTGGCCACCCTAGTCAAAACTGTGTCCACTTCTGGGGGTGGAGGTAAATCATATTACAAAAGGTTATTTCGAGTTTTATTGCTTTTTTTTTTTTGTAGGCACTCAGACCTTAACAATTCCTGTTTCGACAGTTACTATAGCCGGAGCTCCTGTAAAGGCTGCTACAGGAGTGACACCAGGCAGTGTCAAGGCATCGACTCCTCAGCAACAACTTCGTCACATGCAAATTCAACAACAATTATTAGCCCAAAAGAAATTGGTGAATCAGAAGATTGCTGGCATTGCCCAAGTAACAGGCAAAGGAGGCGTCGCAACGCAGTTGATTGTGGGGTCGAAGCCTTTGCCGACTTCCATGACCCTTCAACAATTCCAACAAGTAGTCAGATCACCTCTCACTGTGCCCCAAGGACCTGTTGTATTGGCTAAAGGTTCTCCAAGGGTAATTCCTGTTAATACAGGACAAGGAACGAAGCAAGCCATTCAGGTAAAGAAAATTTTCGTGTTGACTCGGAGGTTTTGTTTTTTACTACTGTGCAGAATTAATGATTCATTTCCATATTTCTTTTAGGTTGTTGCCGCATCTTCTCAGGGTCTAACGACGTCCATCCGTCCTCAAACGACTTCAACACTGGCGGGTGCCCTGACAGGTATTAAAGTACAAGGTGGTGCTAGCACTCAAGCACAACAGGCATTCCTATCCCAAGTATCAGCTGCTTTACAAAGTCAGGCAGTTGGAGTGCGTCAGAGCAGCCCTCTTCGTATTCAAACTTCTACCGGTGCTCCTTTGGTCGCCGTGACCGTCCAGTCAGCTGCTAGTTTACAACAGCAGCAACAAGCTGCCGGGACTGGAGTCTCCGCAACAGGGATGCAGCAACAGCAACAAAGTAGTGGTACTTCAGCATCATCCGAACGGGGCGGAGAACAAGTAAGTAGTAGATACATGAAGAAATAAGGGAGATATGTAATTTAGTTAATTAGTTTTTTCGGTGTTTTTCTCGAAATTCACCTTTTTTATTGTTTGAAATTTAAATATGTTATAAATATATAAAAAAATGCGTGCGTGTTTCAAAGTATTACACTGTACGTACATATGTATACCTTT